TTGAATTTATACAATGTATTTGGGAACCCTTTGTACCTATAAAAGGTCTTGTGCTTGAGACATTTCGTGGAGCTAAGCCATAGAATACAAATATCTTTTGGAGAAATTCTTGTGTTTTCTCTCTAACCTTTCTTCCCATAATTATTTATTTCCAACAATAAGTTGGCAACCAGTCAATCTAGACTAATTGTTTAGAGCCCAACAAATCACTTGTTATGTTATCCATGTAAAAAAGTAATGAAAAAGTTTAATTATCACATAATGAGAGCGAGCAACATTCTTATTCCTTTTTTAGATAATTGTCATTATAAACTGTTGGGTTTTTTATACCCAATAAATCATGGGCGATGATATTAAATCGATGTTGGATAACTTATATCGACACCTTAACGATGACTTGACCTGAAAATAACTTGGGGCCACTAGAAGCATTAATGTAATTGAGTTAATGTTGTTAGTGGTTCAACACTCGTGAATGGCCCAAGTTGTGGTTATTAGTTGGATGGTGATATATGCTGGCCTATTTATTATCGGTTAGTTGTCATCTTTAATTGGTAGCCCATTTAGTAAACTTTGGCCCAATTGGAGTTACCTAACTAGTGCTATATATATCCACCCCTTTCCAGCCATTGAGAGTGTGTGTGATGGTGTAAATGAGAGAAAAGTGTGTGCTTTGTGCTTGAAGAAAAATCCGGTGACTCGATTGTATTCACCCCTTTTGTGCCTATTCTTCCAATTTTTTTTCTCTCGCCATTGTGGCTTGCAAATCACCACCACCAAGTGTACCCTTTGTGGGTGAGTAAACTTGTGGCAACCAAGTGAGTAAAGTTGTAGGTCGAGCCTCTTCAATTGGTGTTTGTTTGATTGATTAAGCTGTGCCCGAATCAAGATTTCTCGAAGATTTCCAAGACATAAACTATTTTTTTGGGGGGCTATATGACATATGATTTCCATTTGTTACGAAGAAATTCAATGTATGGAATCACTTCAAGCTAGCAATAATGCGCTTAACATTTCTAATTTTATTTTATTTGCAAACTATCTCAATTCTCTATGAATTCTTATTTTAACTTATTAAAGTTGTTTTCTAAACTGTCTCAATTCTCGTCGACTGATCTTGCATTTACTCAAAAAATGTTTTGTATAACTGCATTTTCAAATGATCTATTATTACTTACTATTAACAAAAACTTTCCCATAATACTTTTACAAAAACACACACAATGCACATGTTATCAACTAGTGAAAGAAAATGGTCTTTTATCTTTTACTGAAACAAAAGAAAAGAAGAAATTAGTTATTTTGATTTATTTCTTTTCATGAATAAAAACATTGCATGCAATGCATGGGCACAATTTAAGTAAATATTAAGGCAAAAAGAAGGATGGTACTGTTGAATATTTGGAGCTCAAAAAGGGATGCAAGGAATGGTAAAGTTTAACTTGATGGTTCCCACAGGCGATAACTACTATGTGTGTTGGAAAAGTTGAGCATATAGCTAACTTTGAATGGAATTTTGAGCCGGACCCGTTTGGCTATTTTGAAAGATGAAGATGATTTGTGTACTCATTCGTGAGTACATCGAAATCATATACTTAGTTGTCAAAAATGATGCTCGGGTGAAAGAGAAATTGAAACTCAAAGT